ACGATCAATTATTGCGACGCTTTCCTTGCTTTATTGCTCTATTATACGCTTTTAAGTAATTTTTGCTTTGGATACCAGTACCTATCCAAATATCATTCAAATATGATATACAACAGATAGAAAAATAAAATTTTATTAGTGGAGCAAAGGTTACGAATGTGAAGTGATATCAAGGGAATGACCAAGGTTCCTTATATTTACCATGATCGCTTGCGCGCATATCCATTGGCTAGTATTACTATTTCCTCTATAGGCAATAAAACAGGAATGTCTCCTTGATTGTCCGAAAATTTAATGCGATGCATTACGGTATCATCATCCAATGTAACATCCTAAATTTCAGTACAGAATTAAAACAGTTCAAATAATTATACAATTAGAATCTTAGAAAAATATTCCGAATTCTATTTTAACGTTATCTACTCAAGTAAGTGTAAAAGCGAGTGCTGTCATACTTTCGGAAGGGCAGCAGTTTCCAATTTCGAAAATTCTTCTATACTTATCCGATTATCTATTTAGAAAAGAAAGCACACGACTAACAACAATCCAATGACACATTAACTTAAAAATTCTACATGATACAGGTCTAGGCTATGTAGCAATGATAACTTCCTGCTCACAAATACAGTTACAAACCTTTCAGCGTTTCGCACTTGATTGAAGCGGTAAGTTGAGCCAATTTTTTTTCCTGAAAACGAGTACGTTTTCCTAATCGACCTAATACCAAGGCGAAAGGATTTTAGTTATTGCATTAATAACGATATTAATCTGAATTATTAATTGTCGTACGACTGATACCTGCTAGCTCCAACTTTAAGCCGATCACAGACTCAGCTTTTCGAAGCAATTTCTAAAAGAGTGAGATATGGTTCAATCAATTCAATTTGCTAATATGTGGTACTAGATCTAAAAAGTATCTATTTTGGTCATATACCTTAGCTTGAAAATAACCACAGTAACACCGTTTCAAGTGAGAAAATTCCACGTAGACTTGACAGCAAAGTAGCCTATCAATAATATTACATGAGCCATATTTATTAGATACAATGAAGTATTGAAAATGAACCTATTTTAAGGATATAAAACGATATTAAATCGAACAAGTACAGATTCCTTACGATGGAAAATCTTCCTCTTGCAAAAGACCTTCGGTAACTAGGAATAAAAATACGCGTATGTCATTTACATTCAACGTAAACCTTGATGCTATATCTGGTATATTAAATCTTTGCATGAACATCAATCCGTTACCGTAAGATCTTACCTATGTCAATCTGTGCGAAAATCGCTTGCATGAGATCTGGAATGGTATCGTTAAATAATTGCTGATGGGCATAAAGACATCTTATGCACCATATTGGAGCTGTCTATTGAAATACATAAAATACGTGTTACAGATAAAAGTACTTTTTTATTCAAACAGTAACATAGATGGACGATGCAGTACAACCCATGTACTAGTCGAGGAAGGATTTATGAAATCAATTGATTACTTAAATATCTATTTTAAACTCTGAACTCGAACGTCCTTTGGAGATACAATAGTTTGTTACTACCTTTAGGCAGCTCAATTGATTTCGGCAATTAAATAATAATAATCGAGAGATCCATAAGAGACCGTAGAAATCAGCCAAAGGGTAAGGAGGCTAGAGGAAAAATTGGACCATGAGTAATAGCTATATATAGTATAATAAGCCCTGAAGATTTGTATCGTGTTGAAACCTTACTTCTTCATCGCAGCTGAGCAATTTTTGAGCACATGAATTTAGTTCTTGTACTCTAGGCAATGCGTCAGAAGCTATTCTAGGGCCAGTCCAGTTGCATTGTATGAAGCATTGCAAATAAGCAACTCCAGCTACAAGGATCATTAAGTGCCTGCTCTCATGTAACCGAGAAATGAAAACGCAATCAGGTAAGGCTAATAAAACATCGTTGAGTGAGTGTCTACGATATGATATTACCTATCATTCGACTGATCTTCATCTACAGTTGACGATAAATAGGAGGATACTTTATCTTGGATGAGATCTTGTGCCGTAGCTAAAGAAATCGAAATGACAGAAAAGAGCTGTCATACTACGAGTACAGTGCATTAAATAAGTGATCAAGAATTGACGTCATTACCGTCTTTCAAGAATAAGACATTGCTAATATCTTCTCCTAGTATATTGGCTGAGTTAACCAAATCTATCACGCCGATAAAGTCACCATCACTCAATTTCTGCAGCATGCTAAGCAACGCTAATGGAAGAACAGGAAGAAATCGAGAACGTATATCATTAATGATCTTAAAGCAAGACTGAGGTTATACTATGGCAATATCATCAGTGAAAATGCATTGTAGATGCTATCACGTTATTATTTGATCAGTCATCGCTTGCGCTTGCAACATGAGCTATGGCTGCAGCCACATTCACAAGATTGAAAACAGATATATCAATCCTCTCTACCTTTACTACAGTCTACAAGTATTTCAACGTATGCAATACACAAACTGCTTTATCTGATAATCGTCAAGAAATCAACATTTCTTCCATGTCACAATTATTAATCACATTTACAACGATTCCCATTCGTTTCATTTTAATCTGTTGTGGTTACCTTGGTTTCCACTTGCTCGCACCATCACTTCGATTTCCTTCTGATTTGCTTCATGATTTGCTAGATGGAAACCCAGTAAATAATATTCAATAAGACGAACTCTATCTCCCATGTTGTATGCCTCTAAAGTTCCTTACAGCCTGCAGCAATATAAGGTTATAACTGATTTCCCATCCAGTTGAATTCTAAATGGAGACTGTAGGTACACTAATGCCCACTAGCTGCAATAAATGATCAGCTGAAATAGCATCACTTGNGGCTGCCATACGTCCAATAGTATCGAGGTCGTCC